GTCGGCGAGTGTGTGTGTGTGTGTGTGTGTGTGTGTGAGAGTGTGTGTGTGTGTGTGTGTGTGTGTGTGTGTGTGTGAGTGGGAAGCAGCCGGTCTGATTCCTGTGCTCATGGGCATCATTTCCATGGTCACTGCTGCATCGCTGTACCAACCCCCTTTCCCTTCAGCCAGTCCTGACAGGGAGGATGAATTATAATGTTTGGCTGTGTTGGGGGAGGGACGCTGCATGTTTATATGTGCATGTGCATTTTAGGACTCCATGGTCTGTGTGGAGATCAGGTGGGGGAGGGGCAGTGTGTGTGGGTGTGTGTGTGTGTGTGTGTGTGTGTGTGAGTGTGTGTGTGTGTGAGGTGTACCAGTTTAGTCTGTGCTCATGCCAGCTTCTGTAGACCTGTCTGTAATACATATGGAAAAGTGTTCTCTAAAAATATATTTTGCACAAGAGCATTTGTAGAACAAACAATGAAAAACAGAAATAGAGATATAAATAGGTTTTTACATTTACCTTTCCTGTGCAAAAGATGTGGCCGTTGTGTTAGGGTGTTTGCAGGTCAATGCTATGTGGTTGGTAAGATGTTTCGAGTATTTTTTAGCGTGTTGCTATGCGATTTATAGGACATTCTGATTGGTTGCTATGTAGGAGTTACATGTCAATCTTAATAATTAAGATCAAATCCCTAATATTTTGAGCACTACCCTTGTGAAAAAGAAGTACACTTTAGCACACTTAGAGTACTTGTTATGGAAACAATATACTGAAAAAAAATACTTAAAGGGATAGTTCACCCAAAAATGAAAATTTTGTCATTGATTACTCACCCTCGTGTCGTTCCAAACCTGTAAGACATTCGTTCATCTTTGGAATTCAAATTAAGATATTTTTGATGAAATCCGAAAGCTTTCTGACCCAGCACAGACAACAACACAACTGAAATGTTTTATGGCCCAGAAACGTAGTAAGGACATCGTTAAAATAGTTCATGTGCCATCAGTGGTTCAACTCTATTTTATGAAGGTATGAGAATACTTTTTGTGTGCAAAGAAAGCAAAAATAACGACTTTATTCAACAGTTTCTTCTCTTCCGTGTCAGTCTCCGCCGCATGTTCACGAGAGTACCACGACACATGCGTGAGATGCTGCTGCTGATGCAGGAGCCGGAGTTCTGACGTAGAACGTCTATCTGTCTTAGTTCATCGTCTGTATATTCTGGTTCAAATAAGTAAGGCTGGGCAAAAAATTGCAATTCATCCTCTCTTTCGAAATCTTCAGACATGTTAACAAAGACATGTAAACATCAGACACGCTGTACATATTTTATGTACAGCGTCTGTTTTCTTCTGCTTGTAAACAAAGCGCAGTGCATATGGGTTCTACGTCAGAACTCCGGCTCCTGCATCAGCAGCAGCATCTCACGCATGTGTCGTGGTACTCTCGCGAACATGCGGTGGAGACTGACCCGGAAGAGAAGAAACTGTTGAATAAAGTTGTTATTTTTGTTTTCTTTGCACACAAAAAAGTATTCTCGTAGCTTCATAAAATTACGGCTGAAGCACTGATGTCACATGGACTATTTTAATGATGTCCTACTACCTTTCTGGGCCTTGAACGCGGTAGTTCTGTTGCTGTCTATGGGAGGGTCAGAAAGCACTCGGATTTCATCAAAAATATATGTGTTACGAAGATGAATGAAGGTCTTACTGGATCGGAACGACACGAGGGTGAGTAATTAATGACAGATTTTAAATTTTTGGGTGAACTATCCCTTTAAGTATGGAAATGTGAAACATTGTTTATGATAAATTCAAATGTTAATGAAATTTATTTTGAAACTTGTATGTCAAGTATATAAATATTTGTACAAAACATTTGTAATGAGGAATTTAGTACATTTAAAATATATTAACTTTAAACGTAATATTGAATTGTTACTTAAAATGTTACTTAAAATGAAATGTGCTTTAGTATGTAGTAGTACACATTAAAGTAAGTGTACTTTAAAGCACGACAAAAGATTATTAAAACAATGATTTAAGATGTGCTTTAAAATGTACTTTTAATTTGACTTTATTGCAAAGTGCACTTTTTCAAAGTGTACTTAAGTGTGTATTTAAGTTTTTACTCTCTTTGTAAGTATACTAAAGTGGTATTTAATTTAACTAATATTATATTACCAGCAAGTACAGTTCTTTAAAAATATACTTCTAAGAGCTGAAGTACACCACAAGTGCACATTTGATACAATTAAGCATACTTAGTTTCACAAGGGTAGTAATAGTGAACGTAGCTAATAGTGTCAATAACAGACCTAAAGGCCAAATGTACCTTCTTTAAAACTCTGCACTGTTTCTATAGTTCTAACTTTTTTATCTAAATGTGGAGGCACAGATGAGTGCCTGAGGAACAAATAGACTTCAGCAGTTTTATAATCTGTGTGTGTCTGTGATGGAGCATCTGCTCTCATCGTTAGATCAGCTTTCTCTGTCCTGAGCTGATCTGAAGTGACGCAGGTGCAGTTTTCTTTTAGGTAGGCTGGAGTCCAGACGTGGCCAACTGTACTCATGTGAATCTGAATCCGAAATCAATTAGTTGTACTCTCGTTATCGCTGTGCATTGTGGGATTGAACGAGTGCACTCGATAAAGTCCACTAAGGTTTCGGTTTCGGACACCACTAAATATGGCTGTCCCCTCAAATAGTGCCCTATTTAAGGGCAATTTTGGACACAGGGACAGTCCTCAGCACTCCTGTGATTACTGTGAGCTGATAATCATTAGTTAATCTATCAAATTTAGCCAGCGTATTTTTACAGATGTGCTTTTATTGTTAAAAGCAAAGATGGAGGATGTTGGTGTCAAATCTTTAGTTAAAGGCATATGTTTTCTATTGTAAAATTTTTTTTTTAAATACTACATGCTTGTGAAAACGAGGTGCACTTAATTGTATTTAATGTGCACTTGTAGTATATTTTTAGAAAACTGTACTTGCAGAAAATAATATAATATTAATAAAATGAAAGGCCACTTAAGTGTTTCTTAACACACTTAAGTACACTTTTAAAAAGTGCCGTTTTTAATAATGTCAAATTCCAAGTTTTACTTTAAAGTACATTTTAAATCTTTGTTTTAAAAATCTTCTGTCATTCTTTCATTTTTTTTGTCGACTAACTTGCTAAAGCACATGTAAAGATTGTACTTGATTAGAATTGTAACTATAGGGTGTTTTTTGATATTATAGTTAATATAAATACGTTTTCATTTAATTATATATAACATGCAAATAAGTGTCTGAATACATATTCACCTCACACTTAAATATATAATTATAATTACAGTATAATTTATGCATTTAGCAGACGCTTTTATCCAAAGCGACTTACAGTGCATTCAGGCTATACATTTTTTACCAGTATGTCAAATATATACTTTTAAAGTATTTCCATAATAAGCACTCTTTTAAAAAGTATTCTAAAGTGCACTTTTTATCTTTTTTTATTTAACAAGGGCAGCAGTATTTACGAATCCTACCTGGAAGCTTTCATTACTTTTGCAGTTCCATTTTATGCCACTAGTGAATCACCTCTGAATGCTGATGGTTTTCTCTGTTATCTGTTATCTGTTTTCTCAGGAGGGCCAGCGGTTAATGCAGGAGAAGCCGGAGATGAGCGCGCTGGTGAAGAAGAAGATGGAGGAGATCCGTGAGTGCTGGCAGGATCTGGAGAGCACCACCCAAGCCAAAGCCCGGCAGCTGTTCGAGGCCAACCGGGCCGACCTGCTGGTGCAGAGCTACTCCAACCTGGACCAGCGACTCGAGCAGCTTGAAGGACAGCTGGCATATGTGGACTACGGCCAGGACCTGACCACTGTCAACAAGCAGCTGAAGAAACTACAGGTCTTTACTCTTATTTCACAGACACGTATCAGCAGCTTTCACTTCTCTCGTAAGTCTCACAAGCTTAGAAACTCTTTGTGCATCAAGATGATGTTTCCTCCAGATTTGTTTTTGATCTGTCAGATTGCTGGTTTCCAATGTGCCTTTAATTTGCTCTTTATTTCTTTCCGATTCCTGTGCTGAAGACTTTTATTTTCTTTTCCACTGCTGCATTTGCTGGTAATATGAGCCTCATCACTGTCCACCGTATGAGTGTGATTCATGTCGCTGGTGTGGCTCTCCTCTCTGACAGCATGCCATGGCTCTCAGCTGATCTGAGTTCAGTTTCAGCTCTGTCCCCACATCACTCCACCCTCATCACCATCAGCGGTATTGTAGCATCTTCATTTCGCTTTCTTGATTTGCACACACCCTCTCTCTTTCTTTCAGTTTGCTTTTATGTTCTTTAAATTCCCATCAGTCTTCACCAGAATATATTTCATATGTGCATCATAGGTTGCGGTCAGTGCAGGCTGACCAGTCCTATGAAGCATCTGTGTGTGTGTGTGTGTGGGTAAGGGAGTGTGTGGTTTTTATTGTGTTATATTTCCTGTGCTTTTATACATCAGCATATTTCAAACCTTTTGCCTTCAATAGCATTTACTGTAATTAAACATTTAAGCTCTCTAAAATATTCAAATATGTTAGCTCTCTGTCTCTCCATTTAGGTATGCCGGTCAAAACTAAACATTTCAAGTAGTAATTCTAATTCTAGATTCTTTTTAAGGTTCCGTTGCATTTTTTGTAATACTCCTTTAGTTTGATGTTAACTGTGTTTAAGTCAATGAATTGCTGCTTCTCATTTCAGAATGAAAATAACAATGGTGTGTCTGTAATAATAGGTCACAGGTTTAAATCCCATTACTGTAATTACTGTATTGGTCAATTAATCTGGTACACTTCACTGTCTTAATTTATGTAACATCTGAGCCGAATGGGTTACGGCATGTGGATCTTTCTTTACACTACCGTTCAAAAGTTTGAGTTTGGTAAGATTTTTAAATGTTTTTGAAAGAAGGCTGCATTTATTTAATGAAAAATGCAGTAAAAACAGTAATATTGTGACATTTTATTACAGTTTAAAATAGCTGTTTTCTGTTTTGATCATTTAAAAAAAATGTTTTTTTCCCCTGTGATGCGAAGCTGAATTGTCAGCATCATTACTCCAGTCTTCAGTGTCACATGATCTTCAGAAATCATTTTAATATGCTGATTTGCTGCTCAAGAAACATTTATTATTATTATTATTATTATTATTAATGGTTGAAATTGAGATGTGCTATTTAATATTTTTGAAACTGTGATTTTTTTCAGGATTATTTGATGAATAGAACATTCAATAGGACAGCATTTATTTGAAATATATAAATTTTATTAATTATGAACGTCCTTTCTGTCACTTTTGATAAATGTAATGCATCCTTGCTGAATAAAAGTATTAATTTCTTTCTAAAAATCTTACAGACCCCAAAATTTTGAATGGTAGTGTATGTCCTGGTACCTTCTGTAATTTGACTGTAATTTGGAATTTTCAAGGACTTAAGCTTTTTACAAGCACATTTTAATATTAATGAGCTAATGAGTTTTCTTTGGAAGTTTGAAAAGTTTATGATGATGTCATAACTCACTTCCTGACTCCTTTGGTCTTTCTGGTGTTCTTCCTCTCCTCTTTCTGTCGTCATTTTTAACTGTGCTCCACTGTGCTGAACTGTGTATTTCTCCATCCCTCTCTCTTTGACGTCCACTTCGTTCTCCTTTGCATCTTTCCTGTTATACATTTCAACCGATCTCTTCATTGATGTTCTTTTGCACATTCATCATGTTCACTCCACTTCCACCTCTAACAGACGATGGAGTGTCAGATGGAGGAGTGGTATAAAGAGGTTGGAGAGCTGCAGGCCCATGCGGCCTCCATCCCTCAGCAGGGGCAGGTGGAAAAGGTCTCCGAGAAACAAGCCGGTGTGGAAACGCGAATTGTACGACTGATTGAGCCTCTGAAAGAGAGACGTCGTATCCTGCTGGCCTCTAAAGAAGTGCACCAAGTGGGCCGTGACCTTGAGGATGAAATTGTGAGTTTAACAACCTCATTATAACCATTACCTTTAATATATTTTGAAATGTGCCACATGTTGTGAATGTGTTTGTGCGCAGCTGTGGATACAAGAGCATCTTCCAGTGGCCACTTCTCAGGAATATGGGACAAGTTTGCAAGCTGTACAGCAACTCATGAAGAAGAATCAAGTAAGACAGCGTCAAAAAAAACTCTATATCCTGTGGAGAACAGTTTAGACCAGCATAAATGTTAAAGGGATAGTTCACCCAAAAATAAAAATTTTGTCATCATTTACTCACCCTCATGTCTTTCCAAACCTGTATGAGTTTCTTTCTTATGTTGAACATAAAAGAAGATATTTTGAAGAATGCTGGTAATCAATGGTCCCCATTGACTTCCATAGTATTTTTTTCCCTACTATAGAAGTCAATGGGGACCAACAACAGTTTGGTTCTTCAAAATATCTTCTTTTGTGTTCAACATAAGATAGAAACTTATCCAGGTTTGGAATGACATGATGTTAAGAACATGATGACAACATTTTCATTTTTGGGTGAACTATTCCTTTAATGCTGGTCTAGTTGGTTGATTAAGGCTAGAATATACTACAAGATTTTAGCCCTGATTTTCAGTCTGGACACACTGATGCTAGTTGTGGACAATCAGAGCCAGTCAGCAGATTTTGGACCGTCGGAATTGGCAGATTTCACAGAAGATCGCATAGTGTATGATGTGCACAGACAATTTTAGAATACATTGTTTTCATTTGTCATGCGTCTTCAAGCAATGAAGTGCACGTTTCTGTTTGAGTTTACTGTGTCCATAGCAACTTGAAAGTCTGGTAGTGTGTGATGCTTGGTCGTTTACAGCAGGGGTTGTCAAAGTGGGGTTATAATTTTAGGTCTGTATGATTTCCGCAATGTGGAAAACATGGACGGAACACACCTGATTCAGGCCATCGGCTCATTAGTAGAGACTCCAAGACCTGAAATTGGTGTGTCAGAGAAAGGAGATATGCAAAATGTGCAGTGTTGGGGTGCCTCCAGGACCAGGGTTGGGAACTATGCCACATTATTCTTGTGCTCAACCGAAACGTATAGAGATATGGATATCGCTGACTGTGTTTCTCATGGTCATCTCCTCTCAGAGTCTGCAGAGGGAGCTTCAAGGTCATCGTGGACGTGTGGAGGATGTTCTGGAGAGAGCAGGTGTGATCGCGTCCATCCGCAGTCCAGAAGCAGACAGCATCAGGGCTGGCATGGAGCAGCTCCATCAGCTGTGGGAGGCACTGTGGACCGAGACCGAGCACCGGCAGCTCCGGCTGGATGTCATGTACCAGGCGCAGCAGTACTACTTTGATGCGGGAGAGGTGGAGGCCTGGCTCAGCGAGCAGGAACTGCACATGATGAATGAGGAGACGGGAAAGGTAGGAGAGGAAATCAGAGAGGCCATGTGGGGATGGGAAACACCAAATAGCCATTCTGGGGTGCTGTTTCTATAGGTCTTAGATAAAATATTATTTAAATTAAATAGTATCAAATAAAGTCATTAATCATTTTAATAAACAAAACATTATACTGTATACTGTACACACATATATATATATATATATATACTGTATATGTGTGTGTGTATATATTATTTGACCCTCTAACTCTAGCACTCTCTATTCTATTTCTATTCTTTAAAAAAACTCAATTTTGCACTCTATTCATTTACTAACTGCTAGTTTTCTTTCAAAAAAAACTAGCTTCTCTAATCTTTTTGCATTTTTTTTTGTATTCTATTTGTTTTCTTTTTATTTATTATGCAATTAACAAAAAAAAGCCTCTAACACTAGCTTGCTCTATTCTTTTTATATTCTATCTGTTTTCTTTTTATTTATTATATAATAAAAAAAACTTGCTACGTGTACTGCGTTAAGGTAACTGAGACTTGTTATAGCACTTGCATATCATTGCTCTCTTGTTGGTTTTGATTGCTTCCATTGTCATTTGGATAAAAGCATCTGCTAAATGACTAAATGTGTATATACACATACACACATTAT